ATGGGGTATATACAAGGTCCGCCTGCTCCTAAACGAATACCGGGACCCCCTTTTTTATTTCAAAATTTAAGTTCCCATAAGATAAACAGCCAATAGGCAAAATTTGAATGAAAATCTATTGTAAGTTCTATTTCGATGGAATGACCTTAAAAGGTGAAAGGCATGCAGCGCCTCTAAAAGGTTTATAGGTTAGACTAAAGTATGTCTACAAGCCACGTGGCTTATCAGGCAGGCACATAACTCCGGTCGCCGTGACATGAAGCAACTTTTAAGGAGTATCACTACTCCCCTGCAGGTAGTTACCCCCAGGATATTTTTCAGATTACCCTGGCGATTCGCCGGTACCCATATGTACTCCTGGGAAGAGAGAGGCACTTGCCCAAGAACAAAAACACAGTGACCCCGACAGAGCTCAAACCCGGACCGCTCAATCCGGAGTCCAATCCGCTAGCCATTAGACCATCACTCATTTTCAAAGAAAAGCGCCGGGCAAACGGCAGACGCTAAAGTGGTATTTTTGCCTTTCGAAGCAAACGTGATGCTTAAAAATCTCTCTATCATCTGTCTCCTTTGTGCGTCAAGACAATGTAAAGGGAAATCGGCCTAGGCCCTAGGCGTTCTCTCTTGTTTCGATGACTGCGCAAGACATGGGAAGGGAGCGCCATCCGGTGAGGTGATATCACCGCTCTCGGTAAAGTCCAGACTCCCTGAGAACGGCTAGGGACTAGGCTAAAGAGAAGTCAGACATTGATCAATCTTCGGAGGAAGCTTTAAACATGTTAACGTTTTAATATAAAAAACCTCACAATGTATGTCATCGTAATTTTACAAACTGCTCTTTCTAGTTACAAACTGCAACGTGATCACGTAAACATAAATATCAAAAAGGCCGTTAGAACGGACGAAAAGTTTACGTTAAAAATTCAAGGTTTAGACTTAATGTATTCAAATCAATGCGTAATACATAATCCTTCCTTCCCATTTTAATCAGTCATACCATTAAATCCCGGTTAATAAGCCCTGGGCTTATTCAATTTCGTAAGGGTTTTGGAGGGCTTATAAACGGGGTGAGGAGGAGGTGGGGGTGGTGGGGGGGGGGGGGGGTTATAAGCGGCATAAAAATACATGTTTCAGAATGAGCTGATAAGAAACAAGTTGATGCAGCAATATCAAGATACGTTTTCCATTTACTGGTCCTTAAGTCAGTCAATAAATTGGGAGCAAAAACAAATTTCAAGTAATAACATCAACGCAACTGGAACAGATAACGAAACGAAGAAAGAAAATTAATATGATCTAAAATTCAACAATTTCTGTGAGGACATTTAAAGTAAGGAAATAAGGAAACATATGCCGGGGGGAGGGGCTTATAACCGCGGAATATTTGTTTGTTATAGCGGGGGGATGGGCCTATAACCGGGGAAGGGGGCTTATAAGCTTATAACCGGGATTTTACGGTATTTCTGTAGACATAGGGTAATGCAGTGGACCGCTTTTACAGAGACTGCCTCTTAATTGTGGCTGATTGAAAATGTCAACAACATTCAAATGATTTCAGTGTATTCCTGTTCAGAATCACGGAGGAAATTGGCATAACTTGTCAGCGATGAATTTGTAATCAGCAAACTTTTCCGTCGGCTCATAATTATATTATCTTATAATTATTAGTCGTTGAATTTAATTATATTCTGCCTGGGATTTCAGGCGCTCGTATAAAATAAAATAAATAAATAAATAAAATCGACTTTGTTTAACGAGCTAGGGTGACACTTTTAACAGTCTTACAACTGATAATCCTGTCACTGTGGCCCTCGGATCCCAAATCGAATGGAATTTAGAAATGTTGGGTTTTGTGGAGGGAAGAAAACTGGAGTACCCGGCGAAAAACCCTCGGAGCAAGGATGAGAACCAACAACAAACCCAACCTTGTGGCTACTGGCCGGAAATCGAACCCGGGCCACATTGGTGGGAGGCGAGCGCTCTCACCATAAACATTGCCTTACACGTGACACTTTGAGAACTATTTATGACCATTAAGGGAACTACTGTAATGATACATAAAAGAGAAAAAGGTATCTCCACAGAAAGCTAACAAGACAGGAAAAAGGATTATCGAAAAATGTACAAATAAGTGAACATATACATAAAATATGTCCAGTCTTATTCGTTAGTTCACATGTTGCAAACATTATCTGATGACAAGTTAGAAGTCAAAATATAGTATGGAAGGAAAGTGATTATTTGGAAAGAACAATGAAGACATGCCTTGGTTTTCATATTGCAACCTGATGGTCCATCATTGGAGAAATGGCGGGAAAATTCTGTTCGGTGATTGGATAATACAAGTAGTCACCAGTGGCGGGAATGTCGTAGCTGCCAGGAGCAGTCGACTTACTTGTGGCGCCGGGAAATGGTATTCCTTGATATCCATACTGCTTCTCAAGCTCTCGGAGGTTGAACCTGTACGCGAATTTCCGTCCACGAATTTTCACCAAGACATTCTTGTGGTAGTAATAACGCAAAGCTCGACTGAATTTCTGGTAAGTCATGTTGACTCGGCCATTCCTCTCGCCCCACAGACTTGCCACCTGGTCTGGTTCTATGAACCTGAACTGTCCGTTGGTTCCCTCCCATGAAATGATCGAAGAGTACCGCGGCTCCGACAGCATATCCAAAATGAACTCGAAAGTCGAGGCCGCGTTTTGAGAATTCTGCAAAGATCAATAACATTATTATGATGATGACTGTTCTGAACCTAACGTCGCGATGTTTTAATACTAGTAATTATACGTGACTCACATGTCCTCGCGAAACTGGGGATTAATTATTTTTGTGATGTGAGGGTGAACCAGGCTTTAGAGATCGACTGTAGATTGACATGCACTAGCATGTTTTGACGTTATGCCACATTATAAAAAAGAAAATGTTGGATTCCAAACATTTTTAGGCTGTTTTGTAGCAACTAATGATTTCGTAATTATGGTAAAAGCTTTTAAATGAGCCAAACTGTTTGAATGTGTTTTCTAAAGTCAGTTGAAATTCGTTTACTAGAATTCGAAAGGCGTAATGCAATTTGCATATACGTAAGCCAGACTCGTAATTGTTCTTGTTATCATACTGTAACACTACATTGAATTCAGTTTAGGAGCTATCAGTCAATAAATGATTTACACTGCGAGCAATCTGTTTCTTAGACTGCAAAACAGTCCGTATTTTCGCGCGCGAGTGTCGGGCTGAACGCGGTCGAAGGATCTGGAACGAGCGTGAAATTACGAGTGGGATTGGGGAGAGACGCTATAAATACGGACTGTCGCCTTTCCATACATGAAATCCGTTCCGAATTCTGCGTTGCTGGAGAAACGCAAAATTCCGATTGGTCCGTTTTCGACGTAATCTGTCATCGGACATCATTCTCGTCTCCGGAGGCCTAACCACAAACAGCGTCAAACATCGATCAGTTCGCGGGCGGTAAGACAGTCCGGACTTTGATAGATGCGCTTGCAAGACAAAAGCAGGGAGTTTTTGATCGCTGTACTTAGTCCAGTCAAGTGATACGATGTCGACCAAGATTACAAAATCAACAGATTTAGGAAAGGCAACGATCATTGTTATTATTCCGTTCGAAAGCGACGAGCTGATTAACTCGAACAGCTGGAAAGCGTGTTGTTTTGCTCCGCCGGGATTCTCGACTCGCCAAATTTTGCTTGAATAATAGCAAAGTTCCCCACCTTCAACGGACACGAAGAGCAACATTTTGAGGACAAACGAGTTCCTCCGTCCACAGCTAGCGGAGACCGTTTTGTCATGCGGATTAACAAATATATTTTCGGATGAAATGCGTTACCAGTCACACAATCGGCAATTATCTGAGGAAGAAGGTCATAATTTTAGGATTTCTCGAATAGAGCTCAGTTATTAGGCGTAGGAGGCCTCAACAACGAATTTTTCGCCACATTGCCAATGACTCTAGAAATGAATACACGCAGACAAAAGTGAAGTGAAGTGAAGTGTCACGTTCAGGTCACGTTTATGGTATCGAATTCACTGTAGTTGCATGGAACTGTTAAGGAATTTTTGACACTTTAGCGGAAGCATCAGACCCCCTGGTCGGAACGAATTCGTTGTATGAAAAGGGGACAGTCTCTCTTTTCTCGCCTCTTGCGAGGCTCGCGCGTGGATTATCGGCGCTTCGCGCCTCTCAATTCGCGCGTCGCGCACAATATCTCGAGAAAAGAGAGACTGTTTTGCAGTCTATCTGTTTCTTTCTCTAATTTGTTCTATGGCGTGAGAATAAAACGAGTCGCTAGGATATCCCCAATCCCTTCTCGTTTTGCATGATTTATATTCTACTCGCGCGTAGAATCCGAGGAAAGGAGACCGACAGCATGCAGTCCAGAACTGATGAAAATAATAATAAAATAATAATTTAAACTTACCGTCGTTGGATTGGAAGTGGTCGTTCCAAAGGAAAGAGCGAGCAAAAGCCTCGTCAACGTTTGATTTTACAGCTGAAGTCATTCTTTCTTTGGGATCAGAAGCACACACCGTACCGAACCACAACTTTGCAGGCAAGGACAGAACAGGCAGTTTCAGCGAGAATATTTATTGCGCTGTTATCTCGTGACGTAAGTATTATCTGACCAATCAAATGTAATTCCTCCTTAGCAACTTGCAGTGTTTACACAGATAAACATTAAATATTTGTAAAGGTTGCTATAGAAACAAGCCCTTTCAACTGCAATCAACAGCAATTTGACCAATCGATGGAAAGCGGGTTATGCTTTTATCGTCATGTTTTGGAAACATTCCTAGTTGTCAAGGTGACCGCTACTATGGAAACCTTTGTTAGCCACGAATAACAATATTTTGACCAATCAAAAATAAGTAGCCGTGTTGTTGTTGTTATAACTAACTACATATTGAATTCATTTTAGGAGCTATCATTCAAGAACGGATATACACTGCGAGCAATTTGTTCCTTTCTCTAAGTTGTTCTATTTAGGCTCCAATGGGATATATTCGAGCCCATGACATTAAGATTTGCGATTCTTGTGCAAACGCTCTACCACTGAGCTATGTACAGCCACTGGGAGCTGGTCACTAGACCGTTTTCATTATGACGTCACGCGCGCAGAGGATTCGGGTAGTTGTAGTAAAGATCGCGAACCTCGCGCGAGGTTCTGCGCGAAATATAAACTATGAAAGTGGCTTGAACGTGGTAAAGGAAACATGCTTCGTTTAAAGACAAAAGTCAAATAATTTTCATTGTGAACAACTTAGACGATGTTTAAAGTGTAGAGGACCTTCCATGAGTGGAAATCGCATCCAAAAGCTTGAAAGATGGGAGGATAATATTGCATGAAAGCTAAAGTGTCAACCTCGTCCCTGGGAAAAGCGCCCTGGGGACGAGGTTGCTAAAGTGTCGCCCATGAAAGTGTCGCGTACTACGCCTTGTTACACGCGTGTTTTCGCGCAAAGTTTTCATAAATTTCCGGCGAGCAGCGCGGCTAATTTGTGAAAGTTTTAAGTGACACATTGCTTTCACCTTTTCATGACATGGGGAGCTAATGTTTACGCAAGTAAAAACCTTAGAAGGTTGACTTTCAATGATCGACAAGTAAAAAAAAACTTAGATGTAAAAATAATTTCGCTCGCTCACACTAAACTCAAATAATTTCGCTCGCTCGCTCGTACTAAAACTAAAATTGACACGACCAGAACAAGAAAGAGCTAACTGTTACTGCAAGTTCAAGGTTAATTCGCTAAAATAAAATACAACTTACGATTGAAGACACACAACAAGTACTGCAAGGCGTGCAAGCTAATAAGTACATTCGCGTACGTCGTGAAGATTTCGGCATCTGTTCAGCTGAAAATCCAGTTCAACCGGCAATACAAACGCGTTTGAAGAATAATTTCTCCAATTGGATTTGAGTTTCTCTGTTATACTGACCGTCCGTCCATGAGAACAATCTCTTTCCTCTTTGCTGTATTGTGAAGCTGTATGGTTGTAAACTTAACTAAGGCTTATGTTGTTATTTAAAAACAATGCGAAGTGAAACTTCCTTGGCTTACATGAATGAATTTTAGTCGCCGTAAACACGAATAACTGTACGCTGAAAACACTGAAGTTCTTGACGAAAACACTGAAATTCAATGCTCAGCTATTGTTTTCCAAAGCTGTTACCCGATTTCCATACATTCTTGACAAACAACTGCAGTCAAAAAAGTCAAATTACGAACCGTTGTGAATATTTCATTCAGTTGCCAGCGAAGAGCCTGCGAGGTTCGCGCGTAAACGCGCAGGCTTTACTACAAGTACCAGCAACCTTTGCGCGTGTGACGTCATAATAAAAACGGTCTATTGGAAGTTCTATTCAGTTATGCCCGTCAAGTGATGAATAGATGATGCCGGAAATATATGAAATAAATCATACATGTGAACTGCGGTGGAGTGAACGAAAGAGAGAGAGAGAGATTTTACCGTGGCTCTGAACACTTTTTTCAACTATAAATTTTTAAAATGTTGTGGTAGCATGCAGATCATTATATATAATATCATTATATAATATGAGAAAACAGTTAAGAAATTCAAGATGGCGGATCCAAGATGGCGGCTGTTCGGAAATCATGACGTAATATATACGAGCCCGGTCTGAATAGGGTTAATATCAAGGTGGTAGTATCTATCCATCAAAACACTGATATCTGTGTACTAAGCACGAGTATATTGAAAAGTTCCATACCTAGACAGTGCGTAATGAGAGATACCTTATTCTCCATTATTTTTGCTAGTATTAATTTTCGCGATTGAATAAAATTCGCGAAATTAAATACCCCGAAAAATGACGCGGGATTTAATTACTAAATTGCCGCTCGCAGTCTACTACTATCCCCGCGTTCCTCTTTTTTAGTGGGATGGGAGGGGGGTGGGGGGGTGGGGGGTGAAGAGGGGGGTTGGGTGGCTTTCAAGCATATTGGGGTTTCCGGGTATAATAGTATTCTGGTAATCCTACGCTGGCTTTTTTAGTGTTCCTGATTTTAGTATTCCGGCGTTCCACCGTTCCTGGTTTCAGTGCTACCCGTATATTCCGGTTTCAATTTACTCTTCCAAAGTCGACTTTCAGTTTGCCTAGGAAACAACTCCAAATTGGAAACAAATTCCACGCAGTCAAATAGCTGTTTAATTTAGGTTGTTCGCTTTATTTGCTGGTATTAATTTATTTCTCCACACCACAATGTCGGACAAATAAAATTCTTACCTTGTACATGTTTACTCCGCTGCTGAATAAACTCGATGGCGACTCAGTTACCGATTCATAAATGCTGGCATTCGACGACTACTTTGTCCATATCCGGTTCTTCCCTTTTTCAAGTTCAAAAAACGTGACAACTTGTTCAATTTAATGATTTCTTGCCCTTATCCTCGATTTTTTTTCCCACGATGAAATTGTCAAACAGTCAAGACCACGAGGAGGAATAAAATGCAAATTGAGTTGCGCGATTATAAAAAAATTCACACTTCATTTTGCACGTGCAATTTGCATGGCGAGGTTGCGAGGTCTTTTATTGGGTTGAATTTTAATTTTAGACTGAAATATAAAATGCGCGTTTAGTTTTGTTTTAAATTGTTGCTCGCGTTTGTTTCTGTTCCACCACAAACAGGACTGGAGCTGGCACCACTGTTACTACTTGAACCCTTGTCAAAAGTCTTGAGCAAAATTCTACCTTTCTTGTTCTCTATGACAGCCGGGAGTCTTCCCGCTTCCCGTACATTTTACTCCATGTTTTCCCGCCCTTTTCTGCCCTTTTCTTAGTGGCTTCCGCCTTTCCGTGCTTTCCTATTGTGAAATACAGTTGAACCTCTCTAATACAAACACCGAAGAGACGGAGCAAAGTGTACGTTATAGAGTGTTTTCACTTGACGTCATAGCCGCCATATTGGTGTCCTCGTACAAAATAATTGTTATTAACTTCTTCTTAGGGACACCAACATGGCTGCCACGGCCTTTGTCATTTAATTCCCACAAGACTGAGTGAAAACGCTCTACAGAGGTCATGAATTTCGATGATAAATGGCGATAACATGCCGATAAACCTATTGAAAATAAATGCTACTTTTATCGTATGCACAATGCGACAATTGATTAACTTTTTGATCTGTAACCACAAACATGAAATTATATTGAACAGGGACCGTTATCACTGCATGGAGTGTCCGTTATAAAGAGGTTAAGTTTATAGGAATTTGCTCTCTGGGGCCGAGATTTAGCGTCCGTTGTCCGTATTAGAGAGGGTCCGTATTTTTAATAGAGGTGGGCATTTTTCCAGGACCAAGGAATCTGTCCGTAATAGAGAGGCGTCCGTAAGGAGAGGTTTGACTGTATTGCTATGTTTTCCTATTTCCCGGTTTTTGCCACCACGGGTATCCCGCTTCCCGCCCTCTCTTTTCCCGTCTCCTGTTGACTCCAAAAACCCTGTTTTATCAGAGTATAAATCATAGAAAAGCGTGTTTTATCGTTTCGCGCGCGTAAATCTATATTTTAAGCACATAAAGAAGCCAAAACCATGTATTATACTGTCATAAAACACGACGGGAATTTGAGAACACTTGAGAAATATAGAAAACACTCGCCTGTTTTCTAAATTTCTCTCGTGTTCTCAAATTCCCGTCGTGTTTTATGACAGTATAATACATGGTTTTGGCTTCTTTATTTGTTAAATAGAGACAACAGATATTTGTACGCGCATGCTCCCTGTTCCCTCTGATTTCAATACCAACCGAAAAAAAACTCGAGGAGAGTGGTCGAGGGACTGGAGTATCGCAGTCATCGCAGCGCAGGTTACCATGGGAACCACTGTTCTCTAACAAAATAGCTTTTATTATCACTATGTTTAACATCAAAGCAGAGATCGATCACTAAATCCCTAAACCATGCACTAAGGACTATTGTCTAACAAAAACATTTTGGGTTATAACTATGGATCTAGAGACATGTCGAAAAAATAATATACAAAGAACAGGTTCGTTAACCTTGTTATACACTGAATATGGAGCTTAACTGAGTGAACCATGCACTACGGCGACGAGAACGTCGCAAAACAGCAGGTTTAATGAGCAGTGCAATAGCTCTGCACGTGCGTTATACATCTTGGTACATTTTTTAGCCGTACTCTGCAAAACAACAACGTGAAAAGACCCTGAAATTCTGCGTATTTTGGAGAAACGACGGCTAATTTTTCGTATTTCCATTTGTTAATATAAACGCCGTCTTTATATATTCACTGGGAGCAAGTTTACAACCGATAATACACTGAAAAGATAATTGCGACATTCTAAACATGTCTAAAAGTATAAAATATAAATTCAATTTTTAATAGGCGTTGCCCTTAGCTTCGCTGGCGTCATTGCTCGTGTTCTCTAATTACTAAAACAACTAACCTAAGTTTTGATTGAATCTGAAATTACTGAAAGTATTGAAATGGAATCTGTAACAATACAATTGAGACGCCAAGCTTTGACTTAACATTATATCTACAACTTTCAGAGCTTCTGATCTACTGCTGCAATGGGACCTTATGAAGACTAAGTAAGTAATATAAGCACTTCTAAAATTATTAAACGTTTATGATGCTAGATAAGAATACGTTTGCTACAAAATGTCTGGCAATGACGAATTTACATTGCAGTTTGCTATGTACACTCAAACCAACGAATCATGTTCAATTCACTATTATCTTATTTGACATCTTTGCAGCTCTAAGTGCAGTTAGCAATAACTTGGTACGCTCAAACCAACATATGGTTTGTTCACTATTATATTTGAAAACAAATCGAATGAGTTGGTTTCATCGTACTTCCACCTACATGGAACGAATAAGAAAACTTTTTCCTGTACTTATGGAATCCTCAACAACAACTATTTACACTTTAAAGAATATATATTCGCAGTCTCTACTAAGCATGTACAAGCCAATTTCTTATCGTGGCGAAGAACTGATCTTGATCAAGATACAGCACTAGCGTCTCTTCTTCGCTATATTCCGTCTCTAAGGTCCGCACCTAAGGGACCAAAATTACAAAA